TGAACTTCGACAGGACCCGGCGACATTACGACCGGACTTTCCGTCATATTTTCCAGCATAAATATCCCAAATAGGTTGACGAAATATCACTAGAGTGGACCACTAAAAGATATTTGTTTCGACAAGGTCGGCAGAATTATCAAATCGCCGTCGGAATATGGAAAAATCAACGATGGACTGCGTGGATCGTTGAGCAAATTCAAGATCTCTAAACCCGGAACTCACTGGCACCAAAATCACAGTACATCTATTGTACAATATACAGTGTGTGCAAGTTAAGTGCAGTGCATATGCTAGTACAAAGCTAGCGATATCCATAGCGCGCGCAATCGTGCCGTGTACTGTACGTACGTACGTACGTGTAGAGGTCAGTGTGCCGTACGTTAGCTCTTGCGTGTCGTTGTTGCATTCAACTTTGACGAGAGATGACGCTATTCCGTATTCGTTTTGTTGATCCTTCAAACTTGCCAATCTTTCTCAGTGGATCATCGCCAATCATGCTAATTGTATCACTGAACTCTAGTGTGCACAGCGTTTTTCAAACTTTTTTTTTGTACTCCAGGGCACATCGCTGCCGAATACATGAATACAAAAAACACTGTGTGCTATCAATTTGAGGCACGATTAATTATGATTTTGAGGATATTCGGCCATCTCATTGCCCCAAATTGCTACACGAACCAGCGTCGCCAAAGAGTAATTTCGCCAAAAAAAAAAGATATACTAATTTATTCGGGCAACTTTTTGTCAAATAGAAAGCTATTCGAGCACCTCTTTGCTCAAATATAGAGGTATTCATACGGGCACTTCGCTGCCAGAAATCATAAAGTTTCTTAAAAGCCTGTTGCGAGCGAGCGAGGTAGGGGGAAAGGACACTTTATTATCTTTAAAATGCTATTTCCTCGTGAAATTGCATACTCCGAAATCGAGGTTATTCCAAATCATGATTTTTGTTTGTTTAAATAAACATTTATTACTCAAATTCTATGGCGGCACCCGGCCGAAAACACTGCTCTAGTAGTATAGGTATCAAGTTATGCAGGTGTCCAAAGTTCTCGCGCACATCGAAGCAAAATTGAGAATGTCATATATTCTACATTTTATTTAGATCAATTACTACCAAATAAACAATAAACTTAGACTAACAAATGGGTGCAACTGGAAAATTTATCGTCAAAGGAAGTCCGGCGATTTCGCGATCTCAATTTTTGTTTGTTTCACCACTATCAAAGTGGCAGGGCACATTGGCACTAGTTCTTTGGTTTTCTTACACCACAACAATAAATGTATGGTATTTAGCCATTTTATAAATTTCGATTAAAAAATAAAGAACACAGAAAACTTCGTTTAGGTATGAAATGAATAAATATTGAATGAAGTAGACAAAGTAACACACAACGTTTAGGATAGGTTGCCCTATATGATTCTTCTCGGTTCTCATACTAGGCATAAAAGTAAATATAACTATAAAAGTATAAAGCATATATACAGCAATGATTTTCGACAGGATTAGTAACAAGGTTTATTAAATCAGCTTGCAACAGACCACATTTTACAACTTAATGGTCATTTCGGAGGCAGAATTCTAAGAGGCAGATGATATCAAATACTTTTATAATAGAATGACTCAGTCGAAGAAAATTGGCACATTGGGCCTCTTAATGGGGTGCCGGTTTGAATCGTTTTTGATAACTATACAAAATTGAAGTTTTCTAAAGCTATAAGGGAATTGCTATATTATCCACACACTAATATTTTTTTCATTGAAATCTTGAATGTGATATAGTCATTGTAGATTTTGTAATGGTTAAATGAAAACTGATGATTTCATTTTCAGTGAATGAAGGCCTATATACATCAACTATATAGAGAGTATAGACAAATAATGATAGTCCAGATTTCGACATATTCGACAAACAGAATAGGCTTATACGAATTAAAATTTAATTGAAGAGTGTCCCTAGTCTGGATAATGACTTTGTCAACATTAGTTAAATACAAATCTGCTCAGCCGATGTTAAAACCAAATAATCATGACAAAAGAAGGAAACAAAAATGATTTCCTGATTTTACTTTCATTATGAACATACTGATCTGATCACCCCCCCCCCCCCGACCAATTACCAGCTTGAAAATTACCCCCCCCCCCCCATGGACAATTATTACCCAAGTAGAATTACTCCCCAAGGACAACATTCCCCAAGGACTATTATCCCCGGAAAATTACCCCCTATACGACACCCCCCTCCCCGTGGACAAACATCCCCCTGGAAATTAACCCCTTGGACAATCTCCCATCCCCCTGAAAAAAGTTGCTTTTATTAAAACCAAATTATTATCAGGGTGAAGTTCTCCTTTAAAGAACAGGGTAATTTTCGGAGGGTAATTGTCATGGGGGGGGGGGGGGGGGGGGTAATATTCCTGATGTAGAGGTGTTGTGGACTATAGGATAAGTCACCCGAATGCAGATCACAAGGTACGGGGTTCAAGTCCCGCCACGGCACTAATCTCCTTTGGCAATACGTTAATCTACATTTGCCACTCTCCACCCAGGTAAATGGGCGCTAGTTACTTTGGCAGCTCGGCTACGACCAGGGTGCGTATGTGTAAAGTGCATGAGCGTCAGACGTATCTGACGGATACCGGCGCTTTATAAATAACCATAATATTATCATTTATTTATACGTTTTTTTTTTTTTTATCATGTCCCTCTTTTTCAATGTGTAGGCTATATATTTAGGTCAATAATGGTCCGCTATATCTTATTTTCAATATTGTTCCCCTTGAAGTTATTCTATGTTAACTATTGAATCGATATGTAACATGCATGCACATGCTTACATCGAAATGAAAATATATAAACAAATTCGATAATGGGCTACGGATAATGATGGTGATGATAAGGAGGAGGAATGTGGTAGGGTAAGATAATGGCGATGATTGTGATGATGATGAAGAGGTGAAGGAAGAAGAGGAGGGCGAGGAGGAGGACGCAGGAGGAGGAAGAGAAGGGAGATATCGATGATGATGGTGACGATGATGATGATGATGATATTTACAAGGGGGGGGGGGGAGTTGTCATTATATGCGAGATGAATGTAAATCCAAATCCACTCCTGTACATATTTCAGAAAATATGAGAAAATATTGCGAGGTCTATATAATTATATACAAGCCTGCAGTCATGCCATTTCCCCCTCTTAATAATTATTAAGCAGCAAGGTGCCCGACTAACCAGGCAATGGGGTTCCAGGATATGCTCTCATTCGAACAACGAGGTCCCCAAATTTGTCATTTCCATACGTTATCTGTTGTATAGTTTGATGACGAGAATACATTTCATAATACCATAATTTTATTTACTTTGGTAAAAATGTTATTAAATAGAATGTCTTTTTTGTTGTTGGCCTCAAGCTTCGATCAGGAGTATAAACAAAAATTAGAAAGTGGGAAGTTTATATTCGGACAATGTTCACCAAAAGCATCAGACCGTGAGAAAAAGGTGTCCTTACTCATATGAACGTTTCCATTAATAGAGTAACTAGAGTTGAAGTATAAGTTGAAGCAAAATTAAAAAAATGAAATGTCAGAGGAGACGGGAAGAAAGTTTAATGTACAGCGGTATAGCACAATTTTGAGTTATAATATATATTAATACATAAAGGGGGACATTTTGGTAGAATTTTGCTCTGATATGTAATGTGTCCCGTGTGCAGATCAGCATGAACAAACTATTGATCAATTTTAGTTTACCTCCCCCAGTGATAGACTTTGGAAGAATTATTTGCTTGTTTTTGCCGATAGAGGGCGATATTCATCTACCACGAACTCCTCTATTTTTTATTTGTAACAGAGATGTACATTATTTTGTATCTATATAAATATTTGAAATAAGTGACATGGCTACCTATTAGCATGGATACGATACACTAGCGACTTATCCATGATATCATAACGAAAGTAGGTTGCATGCACTTTTGTATATCTATCCCTTCAGTCCACCATCTTCACAGTGATGAGAGGTGCATTTAATTGGTCTCAATAATTTGCTCTAAAAAGATGGAAATATCTAGTCCCCGAAAGCAATGTGGGGGTTGTGGGCGAAAGGAATGGGAGGGGGGGGGGGGGGGGGTCTGTAGTAAGTGATGTGGTCTAGTGAAACTCCAATGCATCCAATGGATGCTGGGGGCGGGATGATCATTATTCCAACTAATAATATCATTATCATTATTATTATTTATCATTATCAATTGTATAATGTTATAATTATTAATATTATTATCATTTATCATTATCATCATCACTATTAATATATTATTATTATTATTGTTCTTGTTGGTGTTTGTTGTTATTATTATTATTATTATTATTATTATTATTGTTATTACCATTAGTAGTAGTAGTAGTAGTAGTAGTAGCATTTAAGATTAATCAAATTCTTGGTTCCTTTTTTTGCTTTGGGAAAAATGTCTTCAACAAATGCATCCAAAAAGAAATGATTCCAACTTTGAAAGATCTGTTTATAATTATTGAAAGTTATTTAGCATACTTCGAATAATATGTATAAAAGGGAAGTCAGGAAACCCAAAAGACCCGAATCTTTTAATTATTTTTCCCGATTCAATTCTTGTCAATAAGACCATCTGAAACGTAAAGATGACATTGATATCTTTCTCTTTTTGAGTGATTGAACTGACTTAGCCTGCCGTATCAATGGAAATTGGACGCGTCTATTTTGTTAATAAAGGGAAATAACTTGAATTAATGTTTTAACTTCATAAATATAATTTGTATAAATAAACATATCAAAGGTTGGTAATAATCATTGATATGCTTGACTTCAATACATTATAAAAGATAACTCATTTATGAAAATACTACAAAACAATCTATTTTGTTAAACTAGAAAGTTAAATTTCTCAATCCAATACATAAATAACCCCCTAATAAATGGACTCTCCCTAACTCCAATGTTTGGGTGCGGTACTAGCATATGTTTTGTACATCGTATCGTAGCTTCGCTGGCTGCGGTGATGATTTGGACCGCATCGGGAACAAGGGTCGACAATTTTGATTTTTCGATACGATTTCATTTTAATAGTGAAGTAGATGTCACTCCTGGATTTCTGAAATAATCGACAGTCTGCAATCAAGGTAAGATCAGTACTTTATTCGTAATTTTCTCATCTATATTGTTGCTTCCAAAGTGTTGTTTAAACGTCGATCCGAGCCTCGAGCAGCCGGGCAACTGCAGCGACGGCTTGAGTGTAGAGGCAAGCCTCTCTGCCGACACAATCAGGCCGCAGCTCAGCTCCCATTTCCCAAATATTTGGTGGTCTGTTTTCTCCTCATAATTTGAGTGATATTCGATAATATAATTTTTTACTTACTCGACTTTACGTGTACCTAACACCCTGGTTGTTGACATTATTAACATGATTTTTGCAATCAATAATTGAATTTTGATAATGCACGATGACAAGCAACAACCTTAAAGAAAGTGAAAGTGTAAGTTGTATCCTTAGATCTAGATCTAGATCTAGTTGAACTTGCCCAGGCCAGGCCAGGGGGCTTGGCGAATTGGCTGGGGTACCGGTTTTGTTCAGGCCGGTTGCTTTCGTGCTCTTTGATTTGTGATGTTCCTGTTTTTGAAACAGAACCATTTCTTTTACGATTCTGCCTGTCTGACTTCCTCATTGTTTTCATTACAAAATGGAATGTAGAACACTAGAAGGTCTCTAAGTTGAATAAAAAATTATAGATTTGAAAAGAGGGGGAATGCAGGTTGGGATTGTATTAAAATGGAATTATTTTTGTAATACTAGAAGGTCTAGACCTAATTTGAAGTATTACTATTACTAGTAGTAACTATAAGTGAATGAATTCAAGATTAAGACAATTTATGACTTAACCCATATTCACCCATCTTCTTGTTGAGCTTTTTGAAAGATGATGGTCTCGTAAATTATGCGCTCTTACTTTCAATTTAACTTCCACTGAATGTCTACATCAGTATCTTCAACTTCTTGCATTTTGCGGTATTATTAGTAACTGCTGCTGATCAGGAAACATCATCAGCTAATTATGTGAATTTGTTGCACTTCTTTGAGAGGAAAGCATCATCAAAATAATATTTATATAAATTATATTAAAACAAAAAAATAGGTACATGACTTGACGATGATAATAAAAAAAATAGCATAACTTAATTCAATATTCAAAAGACATAACTTAAGTTGTTAAGTGGCTACATCGACTCCTACATTCAACAGAAGCATTGATGAAATGGAAGATGAATTTATGCAAATTTACACTATGTTGTTCAATTATTTTTAATTTGTGAAGATCTCTCCCTTCATAATAATAATAATAATAATAATTGATTCTTATTGAGCGCTACTAGTACTACAGACAAACTGATCAGAGCGCTATACAACAGAAAAGAAACATACAAATCATAACAATTAAACAAGGAACAGTAATTAAGATATTATGAACGAAAAGAAAATTTAGCTACTCAAAATTTACATAAGTTGGCATAGCATTTTTGTATAATATTAGAAAGTAAAGTTGACTGTTAACAGTATTGTAGAGGAGAAAATATTACAGACGAGAAAATATTGCAGACGAGAAAGAAATGCATACTAGTTTTGTTCTGGCATAAGTTACCCTGGGGAGTGTTTCACAAAGACTAAAATTGACTTTAAGTTTGACTTAATTATGGCAGGCCATTCATGCCACTGTTTGCTCTCACCATTTACTGGCATTGGTCTCTCAAGGGACTACAAATCTTGGGCACAAATCTACAGAATTTATATTTGCTGATAACTCGATAATCGAAGGAAAAAATACTTTCTGAAGATCATAATGGTGAGAGCAACCAGTGCATTGAATGGCCTGCCATAGTTTAGTCCAACTTAAAGTCGATCTTAGACTTTGTGAAACACTCCTCAGGCCCGTACACTGTATGTGCATTGGTATTTAGTGTGCACATAATTCATATTACCAGTTAGTGTACATATACATTATGTCTTTATCTAATCTATGCTGAAATGAACAGATGTTTTCCTTATTATACACTTTCCTGGTAGTCTGTGAAATAATGCATGCATCTATTCTCAAGGTTGACTCTCAAATAATCTATACAGTGTCTCGTCGTTCGTCACAAAGCAATGAGTATCAATACATCTTGTACATGTAAATGGTAATTTAAGTTACTGTTAAGTATATGTGCAAAATTCCTTTAGAGCTTGAAATAGTAAAATGTTGTCTGAGATTAGTTGCATAAATGTATTAAACAGTGGTCTACATAAATGTTCATGTATAGAGTTGATTTTTTATGAAAATAAATAAGAAAATGTTATATACTGTACATGTGTTCATTTCATAAAAATAAAAAAATCCTATATAATTGAGTTTAGTTACATGTACAGTGTAGGTGTGTTCTTGACCTGACAGTTGTAATTATTTAAACTTATACGGATAGTTAAGCTAAACCAATGTTTTTTTCTTTTCAATTTCATTTGTCTAAAGTTTTAATGTTAAAAAAAATCTTATATTAGGCATGACAGTGATTTTTGTACTTGAACAGCACTTAACCACAGACTCACAGAGTGTACCTACACTGTAGAGTCAGATTTTCAGGTCTTCTATAAGTTCTATTTCCATATAGGATTTGCTGACTGGCTTCAGTTTGGTTTTCAAAACCAGGACACATCTGATCCCTGGGATTGGGGAGGAAGGAAATTAGAAAATCGCTTGAAATTTCTGCAAAAATAAATGACGAAGCTATGTGCGACAAATCGAGATTGGAATTCAATGGGATCACACAACCTTATCGCATTTGCGTAAAAGAATCTCGCACAAATTTAGCGGAGGATTCAGAGGGTAGATCCTGTGGAGATTAGGCTTAATGACTGATGGTATTAGGCAGTTGGGAAGGAAGAGACAGTGTGGTTTTAGAAGTCTGCTCTAGTCACAGAAAGGCCTGTCCTCATCAGCTTGAGATTGCCAAATAGCCAGCTATTGCTGATTTGGGAAATATTCCATAAGTTACAAATCGCGTCTTCATCAGCTCGAGACTTGACTAAAAATTGGAACTCAAGCTCGAGATATTTTGCTCAGCGTTCGCGTATAGTGCGAGTCTTTGGGCTGGTGAAAACGCACCGGAAAAAAGCGGGATATTTTGCAAACTATCCCAAGATATCTTGGGATGATCATCTCGACCAGATATCCCGCTAATTGTCACTTCAGGCAGATGAAGACTCAAATTAACTGGATAATTTGCGATCGGGATAGTTCAAAGAGCGGGATATTTGGCAATCTCTAGCTGATGAGGACAGGTTTAGACTTACTCGATGTACATGTACATTTTTGAAGAGGTGTTCAGGTCCTTGGCGACATGGATTCATATCCCACCATTGCCACCATGCCAAAGGAAACGAACCAAATCCACGCCAGGGATTTCCCAGTGATCAAACTGTGTCCTTTTTAATGGCCACTTAGCACAGAGTGACCGCCTGGCCAGTACTACATAGTACATGTAGGTGGTGTGAAAAATCCCAAGATATTATTGCTATTTTTGTTGTTGCTCTATTGAAATTCATATTGAGCTGCCATCGGCCATCTATTTTTGTCCTCAATTGACGCCTTACACAGCAGGTTAATATGTTAATTGTTTACCCAAGGAGGAGCTATAGGCCTTGACCTTGTCTTTGTATGGACTAGATTTATGTGTTAACCACACAGTACATAAACATGTATTTACATACAACTGTACATGTACGTACATATGTAGATTATACTGTGGAAGGAAGTAGCTACCAATACTTTTTAGCAAGGCTCATATAATAACTAGGGTACAGGTACCAGCTTTTACGTAGCTTTTTCTAAATAATATTTTTTTTTTTTGTCTTTCTTCTTGTTCTTTTTGATGAAGTATACATGTATATTTGAGAAAACATTTCTGAGAAAGTATGGTAGTCTATGGAATTTGTAGCAAGGATCCCTGCCCCCTGATAGCTGACTGAAGCCTTTTAATAGTTAAAGCATTAAAGGGGATTGAACCAAATATATCCAGTGTATTTAAAGATCTACGGTAGCTTTATTTCAGCTTTGTGTATTGGGGCAAGGAGAGAATTTGTGAGGGATTTGATAGTTGACTGCTTTGTATAGTTGACTGCTTTGTACCAGGGTTTTTTTGTAATCTCTTTGGCTGTAGGTCATTTAATTCTCTTGATAATATCAGGCAGTATGCATAGAAATGGGGAACAAAATCAAGCTACCGTATTTCATTGCATGTGTTTTGGCATCCAGTAATAGAGATTTAGTGATCAACATCTAGAAACAGGGATGTGATGTAGAGCATGAGTTGAGTATACTTGAGACTTGAGTGGCTGAATGAATACTATGTCAAGAATCCATTTGATTTTGATCTGGGGCCCATCAGTCAATACAACCTGTAAGTCTAATCAGTAACCGATAAAGTGATGCATTTTCTGCCTGAAAATTCACCATAAACATTTTGTTGTGCATGAATCTTTTGCAAAATTTCGGGAGTAGACAAAAATCATTAAACTTTCATGCCGCAGGAGAACTGTATAACAACCGACACGGCACAAACGTTTTTGCAATTTCACAAAAGTTTCCAATGGCGAAAATGGCTGTCATGAACAATATCTGTCAATTGAAAATGTTTCATGTCGTGGAATTTTAATCATTCTGCTGCTTCCTTCATCATGCAGACCATGGCACATTATGAATATTGGAAACGATGGCACTGGCTCTCGTGGCATATTGCCTGTTCAGAGCCGTTAGGGCGTTAGCTCTTTGCAGTGAGATGTCATATGTTAATGTATATAAGTTAATGCCCTTCTGGCTCCAAACAGACAATATCTTTATACACCCTGTACCTCTCATGGGACCCCTAATGTTCATCTCTGTTTGATCAAATCACCCTATTACATGCAATGTCTCTGGATAGGAAATTGAAATGGGAGTCTGGAAAAAACGTGGACGGACCATTTCCGAAAGTGAAACTTGGTCCAGGCTTTCTTCAAGAACGGATTATCAAATATCAAAGGTTAGAGCCTCCTAAACAGGATGTTCCTCCGGGGATACGAAGATGCTGACTTTTTGGGTTGGTTGACATTTCA